GGAGCAGATTCGGAGGAGACCCAATAACTTAGAAAAAAAACTTTTCCTGAGGACTGAGGAGACTCTCTTACACTACCGCTAGCTTCAATTACTGGAAGGAGACTAGCAGAGCGACCAAAGGTCTGAGGGCGACGTACCTCCCCTAAAGATGACTGCCCAGTGACATTGGAATGGGTAGATACTAGGTGGCGACCGGGCGAACTAACCTCGCAAGAAAGATCAAAGCTGCATGTACCATCATGTCGCTCCGAAAAGAGGTTGTCTATATGGTAGTCCTCAACATTTAGATCTGGCACAATAGTGGTGCCCATGCCCACAAAAAAGTCTCATGATCCCCTAAGATTACCTGGAACTTCAGGGAAGTAAGTGGGGTACAGGTCAGTAAGTTGCTCAGAAGTTGCTGAGGCAACTAAGTCAGAAGCATTAGCAACAACAGTAGTACCATGAGTGGCTAGGTTGATAATTGCTTCTGCAAGTTGAACCAGCAGAAACTCAATGGACTTGATAGAACCCCTAGATATAACTTCCAAAAGGGGTGGTGCAACTTCCAGTGGCTCTCTTACGCCACACTCTTCTCTTGGAGTCTCAGGAACAAAATCCTCCCCACCAATGGAGGAACGGTCAAAATGAACAAAATCAACAAGGTTTAAGCGCTCAGTGCCCTCAATAGTTGTACCACCCTCCGCAACTTCTACAGCAAGGAAAACTCATTCGCTTTCAACAAAGGGGGCATCATGACCTCCTTGTATATCTGCAACCTTAGCGACTGACTCAATCTCAGCAACTGGCTCAACCTCAGCAACTAGCTCAGCCTCAGCAGTTAGGTCGGCCTCAGCACTTGGTTCTTCTTCAACATTTGGAAGTATCATTTTGCGATTTTTGAGTCTAGTGACCCTTGAAGCAATGGGAAGGTCGTCGTCGTCGTCTAAATCTAAAGAAATTTCGATGGTAGTTGAAGGCCCCCCAGGGCCCGATGGTGGTACAGCCGAAACAGTACCGCGCTTTGAAACTAGTAGGCCCTAAAAAACGGAAAAGATCATATGACTTTTAAGATAAATATAAAAGCCTAGGGAAGTATGGAAAAATACAGAAGATTTTCTAAGTATGGGGCCCTCCTCCACTCAGTACTAGGTGGAACATTCCTGTCGGGTCAAAGCCTGGTAGTAGCCATGAAGAAGAATAAAGAAAGAGAAGAAAACTTTAGATGGTAGGGGCCAGAGAGAGAATAAGACAATGAGACAAGAAAGTGTGTTGTGGCGGAAATGGGGGACCAGTGGATCCAAGAGGCACTATTTATAGAGAAATCAACGAAAAAGCGCCAACACACTTCCCCAGGACCATTGTGATTCGTTATTCAAAGGCACATTTTCAGAGTCATCATGAGCCTGACCCAACCGACACAACCCCTAGGTTACTTGCTGACGTCATGCACGTGCTGAAAACATAGAGCGTGCCCTCCACGCGCGTAGAGGATAAATGTAGAGGGTTAGAAATTAAACCCCAAATTAAGTGTGGACCCAAGTACTGAGGTCGTCACATCAAGGCGACCAAGAATGACTAAAAGAGTATGAGCTAAAGCCTAAGGGAAATAGGCCAACAGTAAGCCAAAGTAGGTCCGACCCGGCTTGGGTCCGAACAAACTCCATTAAAGAAAATGCTTAAATGAAGTTACAGAGAGAACACATGCAGTGTTGCAGAGGTAACACATGCAACGGTCAAGTTGCAGAGGCAACACTTGCGACGGTCAAGTTGCAGAAGTACTTTGCCTCAGTGCCACCATTCAAAATATTATCGGTTCCGCTGTTATCTAAAGTTGTTGAGGGAAAAGAGAAAGCCGACACAAATAAGTTGCAGAGGTGATACTTGTAGCACCCAAGTTGTAGAGGCACTTTGTCTCAACGCCGCCAGTTCAAGTCTTGTCGGTACCGCCGCCATTCTAAGTATTATCGGTGCCATTGCCATTTGGAGTTACTAAGGGAGGGAGAAAACCGAAGCAACTAAGTTACAGAGGTAGTACTTGTAGCGCCCAAGTTGTGGAGGCATTTTGTCGACGTCACCATCTCTAATATTGTCAGTTCTGCCATTTGAACTTGCCACGGGAAATGACCGTCGCAGCAATTACAGCCGCCGCAACTAACGTGCAGAGGGAACACCCTGCCAAGGTGACAGTAGCCTTTGAGAGAAGCTCCCCCTCTGCAAGCTGAGGCTAATGCTTGGCACCGATAACAGGCCCCAAGGCATTACTAGCCCAGGGCTGATAGCAAGCCCCAAAGTTCATTAACTTGGCGTTGATAGCAGGTCCCAAGACTTACTAGTTAGAGCTGATAACAGGACTAGAGATACCAATTTACCGCGGCGATCCCACGAAGATGGGAGCAAGGTAGCCCAAATATAAGGGGCTCCATTTCCATTAACCAAGTCATGGACCTGCCTTAGTCGTACATGCAGGACTAAAGAAGTCCCCTTGGGCTTGGTACTAAGGCACAACATAGCTGATAGCAAGCTTAGTTGTGGCCTTTGCCTTGGGAAACTGGGAAGTTTGTGGTTAGGTGGCTTAGGGTGGAGGTTTCACTAAGGTGAACATGAACATAGCCGATAGCAGGCTAATGGCGTCCTAAGAACGCATGTACTGGCCAAATAGAACCGAGAAGGCAAGTACAGTGACAAGGTTTACTGTTGTAAGTACACTTGCTGAGGTTTGGGCTGAGACGGCAAGTGCAACGGCAAACACTCCCACCGCAACTGCACTTGCTTAAGCTCAAAATGGAGTTGTAGCGCCAAACACTCTTGTCGCAACTACATTTGCTGAGGCCCAAAAAAGTAGTTACGGAGGCAAACAAATATAGTACACAGTACATGCAGAGGGACACGTGGCACCTTCAGCCTAGTGGCTCAAGGTAGAATATTCTGTGTGATCCTTAGGGACACTTGTCCTCTCTCTATTTGGCCACTTGGTGTCCTCTTGGTACCAAGGAAAAGCCTATAAATAGGACCCATTTCCCAAGGTCCAAGAAAGGAATTTTTGGGATTTGGAAGAGAAGTTGCCCATTTGTGCACTACTATACATTTCTTCTTGAGCTACTTGTTTTGCCCTCACCTAACTGCTCACTCTCCAACCTCCCAAACAGTTGCTGCTCATTCTCCAGTCATTCCATCATTGTTGGACTATTAGCATAGTTTTTCCTCTCTAATCACTTTCCTAACCTCGAACCCCCTACAGAAGCAAACACCTTTCTAGGTTTCAAAAACTGCTCTTATTATATTATTATTGGTCGAAAATATTTTTCAATTATACAAGTCCGTTCCTAAGATTAGAATCATGTGTCTGTCACTCTACAAATCCATTATGGATAGGGGTGCAAATTAGGCCCGACCCGGCCCGACCCATGTTGGGCTGCCTAGGTTCTTTGGTCAACCCAAGCCGGTCCACAAGCCAGAAAATTAGGCCTGGGGGGTATTCGGGTCTTGGACGAGCAGATGGACTCAAGCTTGGGGCGGGTCTGAACAATTTTTTTTGTTCTTTTATTATTTATTTTTTTACTAAAATTTTATTATTTACCACTAAAAAAAACACTAGGTCTCGGCGCGGGTTGAGCCTTGAGTGGGCCTTAAGCGGGCCGATAGGCCGGGCTTCAAAATAATGGCCCTAGCCCTAGCCTAGGGTTTTGGGCTATGCTCGAGCCCAGGCCCAAAAGGGTCGGGCCCCCCTCGAACCGCGGGCTATTTTTACACTCCTACATATTTCAATCAAGAAGGAGAAGTTGTATTAGAAAAAGGAATGATTTTTCCATATATACATAGGTTCAGGCTACATTGAGAGACTACTATACAGTGCAAACTGGTTTCAAGATAGTAAGAGACAAAAATGAGAAGTCTAGAGTAACAGCCCATTGTGCTGCTGAGGGCTGCCCTTGGAGAATTCATGCATCTCCACTTCCAGATGGAATCACCTACAAGATTAAAACCTTAGTACCTACTCAAACATGTAGCAGGATGAACACAAGCACTGAACCTACTTCAACTTGGATTGCTAAAAAAATGGTTGAAAGTTTTAAGGACAATCCACACATGGGCTTAGATACCATGCAAGTGAAACTAAATAAAATGTTTGGGATTGAGGCTTCAAGAATGCAACTGTATAGAGCCAGAAGGAGGTGCAAGGAGGAGCTGGAGGGTGATCATGTGAGCCAATATGTGTTGTTGCCAACATATGTTGAGGAAATCAACAAAACAAACCCTGGCAGCTTGGTGGTCATAAATTATGACATACCCTCTACCCCAGTCTCAGAAGATGGAGAAGAACCAGACCCTACCATTCCTCAATATTCATTGTTCCAAAGAATTTTCATATCATTTGATGCAATGAAAGCAGGGTTCATTAATGGATGTAGGCCATTCATAGGGGTAGATGGTTGTCACTTGAAGGGTCCCTATGGTGGTGTTTTAATTTTAGCAGTTGCCTTAGATGGAAATAATGGCTTGTTTCCATTAGCATTGGCAGTAGTAAAGGGTGAATGCAAGGACAGTTGGTCTTTTTTCTTGCACAACTTGAGAACAATCATGGAAGATGCACTCCCTTCAAGACCATGGACCATCATGTCTGATCAACAAAGGGTACTTTACTGACATATTCAACAACTACTTTACTTACATAATTATGCTTGATTCTCTAATTTTAAACTTCTAATGGTTACTAATGTTTCATTATTTTTGTATGCAGGGCCTTGATAAGATTGTGAGTGACATTATACCAGAGGCAACTCATAGAAGATGTTGCATGCACCTATATAACAATTTCATAGCCAAATTTCCTGGTTTAATTGTGAGGAAGCAATTTTGGAGAGCAGCAAGGGCTTACAATTAGATGGAGTATGATCAGGCTATGCAAGCCATTAAGCACCTGAACAATGATGCTTTCATTTGGTTGCAGAAGGTTCCAGTTGAAGGAAGGTCTAGGCTTGCATTTGATGGTAGGATTAGAAGTGATCACATCACAAATAACATCACAAATTTGAGAAGTCAGCCAATTTTAACTATGCTAGAAGGCATAAGGTGCAAGTTGATGGGTAAGTTTCAGATGAGGTACCAAAAGGCAATGCAATGGAAATCTAATGTGACATTGAATGTGAAGAAACAGCTTGAGGTCACATTGAGATGGTCAAAGACTTGCACAGTGGAGTATGCAGAAGGCAATGAGTATGAGGTGAAGGATAATGAGGGGGTTAATCACATTGTCCATATTGGGGCTATGACTTGTGTATGTAGACAATGGGAAATATCTGGTCTTCCATGCAAGCATGATGTGGCTGCAATTTCTCACAGTAGGTTAAACATAGAAGATTTTGTCCACCTTTACTATTCTAAGGCAACGTACTTGAGAGCCAATGGTGGAATGATACATCCCATCTTAGACCATAGCCTGTGGACACTTATACCTGGGGACCCCTTACAACTCCCACCACTGAAAAGATTGTTAGAAAGGCCAAGGACTTCAAGAAAGAGGGCTGCTCATGAGCCACCAGCTGGAACAAGTCAGAGCAAAAGGTCTAGTACCTTGAGATGCAAATGGTGCATGCAATTTGGACACAACAAGAGAACTTGCCAAAGAGGTCCAGCCAGGGGTGAAGCATCTGCTGCTGGTAGGAGCAGTGGCACATCCAGTGGTAGAGGCAGTGCCAAAACTACTGGTAGGGGCAATGGCAGATCTGTGAGTAGGGGCAGAGGTAGAGGCAATTCAAGTGGGAGAGGTAGTTCAGCTAAAAAGGGCAATGCAAGTGGTAGAGGCAATGTAAGTGGTAGAGGCAATTCAAGTGGGAGGGACAGTTCAGCTGGGAGGGGAAATACAACTACAAGAGGAAGTTCAGCTGGGAAGGGAAGTTCAAGTGGGAGAGGTAAGGGGAAAGCCAACCAAGCACAAGTAAGTTTTTTCTATTTGTTTTGCCTTTTCATTTGTGATTTTTATTTGTTTTCTCTATCAATTTATGATATTGATATTCATATTTATTACCTTACTTTGGTTTTCAATTTAGGATATTCCAAGAGGGACCCCCGCAATGCCTACTCAGTGTGTGACACAGGTCACACAACATCATGTTAGTTATGAACTTACTTATGAAGTTACAATGAAATTAGCTAAGCTGTTGATATTTGTTTGTTTGTGACATAGGTCACACAACATCAATTTATTTGTTTTTTTGTTTGACTTTTTTTGCAGATAACTTAGCTAAACTGATGATATTTTGGGTACAAGGATTAACATAGGTTGAAGGTATAAAATATATGTTGCTTGATTGTATAGTTAGTGAGGATCATTGTAGGAACCCACATTTTATGTCTTCGTCATGTTCATGAGCATCTGTATGATTAGGACTTGTTAAGCTTGCATGTGTATGTTTGTGACTTGTTCCGCTTAAGCAAGTGTGATCCATGCCTTGTTTTGAAGCCTTGTGATTTGTCTAAATGTAGTATGCTTGTCTTGTTCCTTCCTTGATGTGAAACTTAGGTCACGCCTTGCCTGAGTTATGGTAGTGGACATGCAATGCTAAGAAATATGATGATGTGGCCATTTTTGTTTTTTTGTAGTGGCCATGAAGTATTTTATGAATACTCATTTTGGGAATGTACATGATGTAATTGCATAGACTTGGCAAATATGGTCCATGGAATGATGTAACTGAACATATCTGATAGGAATGATGTAAGTAAACTACTTGAACATGTTTGACAACAATCATAATGTAATTAAACAGATGTGCACATTTATGGAATGGTTTTACTTGATGTTTAGATGATGTAATGGAATGGTTTTTATGTTTACAGGTCATTACGTTAGTCAAATTAGATGTGCATATTTACATAATGCTGAAATAACTTCATCATATTTATATATGGTCCATTACAAAACATACTGCATTACAAACATAAGGTCTATTACAAAATATTACAAAACCTTACATAAGGGTCATTACAAAACATTAGGTGAATCATTACCATTACATTTTCAGAGCAACCATTAGGGAAATCAAACATAAAACAACATTCATGATTATTATTATCTTTGTAAATCCCATGTTTGCTTCAAGTACTTGCATCCTTGTTTGCATAGCCCTCATTTGGTTCATTAAATTCATTGCAAGACTTTCTTCTTCATAAGATAAAGTGTGTCTGTTAACAGTTGTTTGAGTGTCTTCCATCATCATTTCTCCTCCAACAGATGAGTTTACTGGTTTGCACCACTCCCATAATCCACATTTCCCATTTGGGCATAAATAATACAATTTGCCTTTGTTTTTTTCAGATTCCGTGACTTTAATTGTTGCTTTGCTCCCATAGTAACAGAGCTTGCTTCTATATTTCATCACCCCTCCTCCATTACTTGATGATGATATATCCATCCAATGAACCTACATTCATGAAATGTGAGAGTTATAATGCATTTTCAGAACATATATCGCATTTTGTTGTTGTTGTTGTGCTTTATTTCTAAATAAAGGGACATACCTGTGTTGGATGTTTGTTGTTTGTGCTTCATTTCTCAATAATGGATCATAGTTATAACGCATTTTCACATGCAATTTTTTTTTTTTAAATAGTTAATGTGAGTGGCAACATACATGTGTTGTGCTTGGCTCTTTCTTCTTTTTGTTGTTCTTTAGTTTTGGTTGCCTTTGTAAATTTCTCTCTTTCACTGGGATTTACTGAAGCTGGAGAACTCTAACATTTGGTATATATAGATGGGTTGAGGGTATTATGGGCATTTATTGTTTACATTTGATGACATCGGCAGGGTCTGTTAGGGGTATAAACGGCTGTCAAATTTTGGGGGAATCTTGACATTGTCAGGTAAAGTAGGGGGGGTTAACTGTAATTATTCAACCCACAGGGGAGATCCCTGTATTTGTCAAAAATCTCAGGGGAGGTAAATGTAATTTACCCATTTATTTTTAATTCAACACTTAAATTTTTATGAAACAATTTTTCAATTTAAAAAATTCAGCATTCAGTTTTTAATACTTAGGCCTCATTTGGGAACAGGCTTTTTTTGTAACTTTTTAGTTTTTTGGCTAAAATGTGTGATATAAAAAAAACTAGTATGTTTGGGATGACTTTTTAACTTTTTACGAAAAGATGTGCAAAAAGTAGAGAGAAAAGGGAATCTTTGACTTTTTTGTATAAGTTGTTTTTTTGGTTTTTTTAGTGATTTTTTGGCTTTTTGGCTAAAATAGCCAGTTGCCAAACGAGGCCTTAATTTTCAGTTTTCAGTTTTCAGTTTTATCAAACACTACTCTATTGCTTCTAAAGAAAGGAAAAAAAAGAAAAAAAAAAAGAAAAAGAAATGCTCTCATGATAGTTGATTAAATTTACTCTATTTTTTTTAAGATAAATTACATTGACACCTCCTGAGGTTTGGCCTGATGACAATAGTCCCCCCTAATGTTTTGAAAATTACATTTCTCTCCCTAAGATTTAGAGTCACATTACAATTTCATCCATCCGTTGGTTAACTGTTCAATCAACTAACATAAAATACTAAGTATGGGGGCATATTTTTGTAAATGACAACACGTGGCCAAGGTGGCACCGAAGTACTAGCTGAGGTGCCACGTGTCCTGATCATAGCGCCGAGGTAATCTCGGCTAGGTTGAGGTTATCTACGGAGATACCGGAATCCGAGATGAATGGATAAGGGACAAGAGTCCTAAAATTGGGGAGGACCTCACTCTGGATAAAGATTAAGCTCTTAGGGAGTTTATCTTTATTTATTTGAGAGTCCAGGATAAGCATTGAGCCAGAGTCCATTGAAGCTAGGCTTTTACAGGGATCAGATCAATGCTGGCTATAAAAGTAAGGCACCCTTGTGGGTCTAAGGTAAGCTTTTTGTATCCTGGCTAGTGAGTTAAGCACTGTTTGCTATCTTTGAGAGATAATTGAGTACTAACTTGATCGTCGGAGTACCCCCGGGTGGACGAACCACCGCTAGAGTCTTATCTTTCTGTGACAGGTTGTTCGGGCGCAATCTATTCTGCCGATGTTCTCCAGCTGAGTACCTGTTTGGCAGTGTGGTCAGAAATCAACACATAATTTGGCGCCGTCTGTGGGAAAGAAAGAAGAATAGATGGCCAATGACGGACAGAAAGAGAAGATTGGGAACGACATCCCTACTGGACATGGTAAACACATTGACCCTAACGTAGAGGAGGATGACTGCAACGAAGAACCTCGGGATAAGAATCCCGGAGAGAAAGACGTCAGCTAGGAGGGAAACGTACCAAAGAAGACAAACCGAGGCAAGTATTATAACGAGAACGACCTCCAAGTACGGAAAGATGAAGGGAATGGCGAACAAATTGGCAGACCTATAATCGGTCGTCAATTTCATGATGCAAAATAACGTCATGCAGCCACCGTTTCCGTTACAAGACATGCCAATTCCGGTGGCCAAGAATGACGCCCAGAAAAGGGGGCAGAAAACAGTTCCTGGAGTCCCTCAGCATGACAAGACAAAGGAACATTCTCATCAGCCTTCACGGGAGGTCGGGTGGGGAGAGTCGCTGAAAGGAGAGTCTTAGAAGACACGTCATACCAAAGAAGCCTACACCAAAGAATATCGGCATGTTCAAGGGAATGAGCTTTGTTTCGACACGACTAATGGATGGAGGTCCAAGGGGACTCATAACGACACCGGGAGTAGTGCACCAAAATGGCTGAAATCCATTGATAGCCGAGCTTCTAGACGGACCAAGAAGGATTTGAGGGATTACCTCTAGAGAAAGTGAGAAGATGCCAAGGTAACATCTCCGGTCAAGCTGAAAACGCCGTTTTTGGTAGAATTAGACAAATTTGAGGCCCCGAAAAGGTTCCACATGCTGAGATTCCAGATATATGACAGTAAGTCTGACCCTAACTTTCACTTCACCTTGTACTTAAACTCAATGGCACACTACACCAGGAACGCGTCGTTGCTCTGCAAGGTGTTCCCCTCATTCTTTGGGGAAATTACATCAGACTGGTTTCACAAGTTGCCGAAAGGAACTGTGAAAAGCTGGGGAAGCCTGGCCGAGATGTTCGTGGCCAGGTTTTGACAAACAAACAACAGCCGTTGAGGGTGGACTCCTTGATGGCTTTGAAAATTGGCGAGGATGAAAGCCTCAGGGCTTATGCGAAAAGGTACTATGAGGTGTTTAATCAAATACCAGGGTGCAACCAAAAGGTGGCGGTCGTGTCTTTTAAGAACGGCCTGAACGATGACTGTCTGCTTCAAAAATTAATGGCAAAGACAGTGCCAAAAAGTATGGAGGAACTCATGGCCAGGATCGAGAAGTATGCGAGAGCCGATAAAGACACGCCAGGGACAAGGGTGTCGAAACAAGAGAAGAGAAACGGCTCGCCGAAGCGAGGCCGAGGTAATACTGGATATAACAAGCAAGAGATAGGACTGAGGGCTGCACAAGCAGTCACTACCGTATTCCGAATTCCGGTTTACAAAGTTCTGGAAAGAATTTGGAATCAGCCCTATTATAAAGCACCAGAAAAGATTCCTGGCAAATTTATGGGAAGAAGTCTGGGGAAACGCTGTGCGTACCACAATGAGGATGGGCATATGACTCAGGGGTGCAGAGCCCTAAAGGCACATCTGGAAGACCTGATAAGACAAGGTCATTTAAGTGACCTAGTAGATGAGGCCAGGACAAGGGAAGAACAAGCGAGGTTGCCTCAGGCACCAGCAGCACCACCTCCACCAGCACCACAACCATAAGTAGGCAGACCTCGAGTGATCAATGTGATTCACTCGAAGGTCAATGAGAATGAGATATGTGGGGAAACTCAGAATGTGAAACACTTATAACATGTGTATCAGGTCCAGCAAAAAAGACCTAGGACAGACGAGTGTCAGGGACCAATGGTGTCCTTTACTGAAGATGACCTAGACATGGTGCAGCATCCATACAACGATGCTCTGGTAATATCCCTCAAGATTGGAGAGTGCCAAGTAAAGCGCATCCTAATTGACCAAGGCAGCTCTTGTGACATCATGTATGTCAGATGTTACAAGGAGCTTGGCCTTCACCAAGATGATCTGGAGCAGTCCAATGGTCCAATGGTCAGGTTCAACGGAACGCTGACGTGGCCCTTGGGTGCAATAAGTTTGGAGGTGTAGGCAGGCACCAAGAAGGTAAGCACAAAGTTCACGATAATTGACACCCCCTCCTCTTACAATGCTATCTTGGGAAGGCCATGGTTGCATACAATAAAGATTGTTCCCTCAACACTGCACCAGCTGTTACGGTTTCCAACAGAGCATAGAATTGAAGAGGTCAGAGGGGATCAGGTGCAGGCAAAAAATTGCTCCATGGCAGCAATGAAATCCACCTGCAACATACGAGAAGCAGAAACAGTAGAGATTGA